ACAATTGTACATTTACATGTTATTACTGTAAACGATGTACTTTGACCTAAATCTGACCACTTTCCAGATTATTAATTTGGATATGCAATTTTGCAGAACCTGAAGAGGATTTATTGAAAAGAATATTCTTCGTTCATATAGCAGTCTTTTAAGATGATGAGGAGCTTTCATCGTTCAACTTCATAAATAACAATAATTTGATTAGAACGAAATAATTTTTATTCTTTTACATTATTTATCGAGTACTTATTAAGATAAACTATTCAGCAGTTAACTAGTTAATTCAATTAACTAAAAGTGGATTGTTACAAACTACATATTAAACAGTTTTATAGGGATAACAAAAGTAGAAAACTTTATGAAAAATATTGGAAGTAAACTATCTTGATATCAATAATCTGGCGAGCGAGATCGTGGATGCTAACTACTGAGATGTCCCACAATAGAACAAAATGGCCGTCCAGTGCTTTCGAGTTTCCAATGGTGATCAAACATCAATTGGTTCATGATCTCAATAAAAAAATTTAATAATCTCCACAACCCCATACTGAACATCACTTCATTTGTGGTTATTGGCATTTTAATATCTATCTATAGATCATCTTATGAATGGTTCAAAGTTTTCAGCGTTTGAAAAAGCGATTGTATATTTTATTATTATATTATATTTTTTGTAATATTTGTTTACTATGAAAGTGAACACTTTCTATTTTCATAGCGGAATATATTGCTGATAGAAAATTCGTCAATTAGCATGCTAAGAAACTGAGGAAGCACTATAACAAAGATGGAATCTAAATTTTTGATAGCTTATTAGTAATTGGTGTTTGATACAAGAAGTATATTATATACGCTCTGAGATTTATTCTAACAAACAGACTAAGTTTAAACATTTTTGTTATGACTTTTTCATGTTTCATGAGATCACGAAGTTCAACTTTTGGAAAATGTTGATAACGATTGCTTTTAAATATTGAACATTTAAACCGATATTTCCTCGGGTCAAATCTCGTGAGGCGGGATCGTGGATGCTCATTGCTGAGGAGTCTCATACTAGGATGAAACAGTTGTCCAGTGCTTCCAGGTTTTCAACGGTGATCTAGCCTAGATCGACTCACTAATCCAACTATTAAAAAATTACTATAGTCTTCACGAATCCCCATTCTGATTATATATATATATATATATATATATATATATATATATTCACCTCTATAAAAAAACAGATTTGAACTACTTAAATCTGGGCAATTAATACCCATCAAAATTAGTTTACACATTTCTATATTAAAATGGAATTCTCTCATAAAACTGTTTAATAGAATTTGAAAAAGTCATTACCGATTCCCAAAATTGAATTGACATGTAACCTTTAAATTAACAATTATCTTTTCTAATAATAGAAAATCTTAGCGAATAATATTATTTATAGAATAGAAACCGTGAGAAAAATGGCATTGAATCATGCTGAAATATATTTACCCTTGAACAATAATAGTCCATGATCTATTGGATACGACTGTAATTGTTATTTAATGACAAATATTTTTAAGGAACAATGAATGATCCAATAATTCGTTATTTCATTGTAAAAAAAGTAAATATCATATTTCAATAATTAAATTCATGAGTCGATGTAAGCTAGACCACTACTGAAAATTTGGAAGTACTGAACGGCCGTTTCATCCTGAATGGGTCAACTGACGTTAGACATTAACACCGTTGAATCCTGAACTAGTGATCTAAAGATTAGGCGTTCGCATGCGAATTTATTTATCCGACAACTAATTTAACCGTTTAAAATTTTAGAAAATTTCATCAATGTTTCGATTTTAGATGCAATTTGTTCTACATTGACAAAATTCATTCACTTTTTAGTTGTTTAATCATGTAAAACACAACTGCTTTTCATTTAATTAACTTTCACTATATCTTTTTTTAATCAGACTAGTTTTTTTATGTCTATGTCATGTTTTATACTTAGGTCAGTTTAAGAAGTAAATTATCCATTGTGATGAGATATATTTGACAGTCATTTTAATTAGTTCCCATTGATTTATGTTATAGAAATAATGTAAATGTATTCAATAAATGTTGTTCATATAGAAGTCTTTTAGAAGTGGGTTTTTTTTAATAATTGATTTTCAAATACTTAAAAATCTATAATGAACTAATTCTTTGTCTCATTTTTCATTTTTCACTATGACGACAATATAATTTAGAATTACTTCATGGTCCTATTCAATATCATTGTTTGAAAATCATTTGGGTTGGAATTTCATTAGTATATTACCTAAATGTAATCAATGAACAATGATATGAGTTCACCATGACCACTATATTGAAAGAGTTTCTGTTGAAGTTCTTGAACAAATGATCCTTATATAATGAAAAGCTAAGTATATTAAATAGTATCGCAAATCGATGTTCTGTTGAATGTTATGCTAATAATCTTCATAACAACTTCATGTTGCTACTAATCAAACAAGCAAATTATATATAAATTCCACAACATGAAACAACTTTAAACATAATGAAATACTAAAAAATGTATACAATATATGCCGCGCATCAAATTTCTATACATGTATTTAAGTAGTACAAATTACTGAGATTGTCATTTCAACGAAATGCTTTGTGATCGCTTGAAATCCCGGATGTAATATTATTGTTATTCTTTTTGTATACCATTGAGCTACAAAATGTTATTCAGAATCTATTCATAGATAAAAAAACACATGAATGTAACAATAATATAACTGACTTATATTCATGACAAGTTATACACAAGAATGAAGTTTACCAAACACAATACATTCTTTTACTAAACAAACAATCCATCATTAATCTTAATCACTTTTTTGGTTAATCTATTTTCCTACCTACTTTCATTTTGTTTGTTTTGGTTTTAGTATTTACAGATTCCATCCGATTTAATGAAGTAGTTTTTTTTTTGTCACTGAGTCATTCTATCCAGAGACTTTTGTTTGTATTTTGTCGAAAATGAATTAATAGAAGTACAGTTTAATCCGATTTATCTAAAAAAAAGTTTTCAATGACAAATGAAGGAAGAATCTAATTATTCTAGATTAAAACCGAATTTAACATAGAAGATAATAGAGAAAGTGTTACTAGTTTGTTTGTTTGTTTCTTTTTGATTTAATTTTCAATAATTATCTTTTGTATAGTTAAATGTTTTCTAATACAAATGATTCTTCTGTCATATAATTAAGCAATATTTATGCTAATTCCAATGGCCAATATATCATCCTATTTATATTTAGAATTAATTCCTGTTTTTAGAAGTCACTTAAACTTATTGATAAACAGTACACAAATACAAAATATTTTATGCACTATTCATTCAAGTAAATAATTGGTTGAAGTTAGACATTAACACCATTGGATGCCGGCTTAGTGGTCCAGTAGGTTAAGCGTTCGCGCGTGAGACTGAAGGCCATGGGTTTGAATCCCGCCAGCGGATGCGCACTGCTGAGGAGTCCCACAATAGAACGAAACGGCCGTCCAGTGCTCTCAAGTTTCCAATGATGGTCTAACATCAGTCGGTTCATGATTTCAATCTAACTAATTCGATATGTTGAATAAGTGATAAAAATGATCGTTGAACTGAATAGGTTGATACTACTTTGCGTAGTAGTCATGTTATCTTGATGATGTCTAGACAAGTTTTCTGGGTTAAACGTTGGGATTATTTGAATTTGAATTGCCGAGATTATTTTAAATATAATTTTCACACATACTGTCTTCTTTAAACTTAGCGCTTAATTTTTGTCAAATTATTCGTTCTAATATTGATAAATACTAGTATAAAATCTGGATTGTTAAAAAACGTTTTCAAAAGTGAACATTAACAAGATCTAAAAAAAATTGATGTGACTGTGGCTACTTCGTGGAGTCAAACGCTGATCACTTATTTATACAATTTGAGACGCTAACACTGAGATTTTTGGTTCACGATCAACCACCTGTAAGACTGAGATATTTATACTGAGTAATTACTGAGTAGTAGTCAGTATAATATATCTGTCTATTTCTTAGTGCTGGTCGAAATCAAATCGTAATGCGAACATTTATCAAATGTACTGGACTTCATCTAGATGTCCTTGATGTGAGTAGGAACCGATGCGTACACTTTAGAATATGGTTAATATAAAAGATCACCGTAGTTTGACCATCAAAGACAAAATTCTCTTAATTATACGGAAATTTATAGAAGGTTTTCATTTTATAAAATCCAAACATATTCGTTGAATAAATACCCTTCTTGAAGTTCTTTAACTGTGTGAAAATATTAAATTATAAATCAAACGATTCCTAGTTTTCGTGGTAACACCTTAATAATGTGCACGAACTTAATGTACATTTGTTAGTTTGGAAGGTTTTATGACATTACTCGATTTTTAGGAGTCAAACAGAAAGGCTTTAGGCCTTTAGCAAACATTTTGCCTGTAAACTAGTGAGTTGGCATCAAATTACTTAGATTTACAAGCATTCAGTTTGTGTTACTGCGCCTCTATCATGCATCAACATTATTTATATGTCTCATTCCCGATAGGGCTAGACTACTTTGGTCATACAGGAACTTCCCTTCCAAAGTTAAACAGATTCTATTTCGTAACAGTTGTTAAGTGATCTGCAATTTTCAGCTTTTGTCTTTCTGAAGTCATTCCGCTATGTAAAGCATACAGAGTATGATTATTTACCTTCTTGGTTTATGCAATCATCATTGTCAATTTCAAAGTTGATTTCAATTACATGAATTCTATATATTTCTTCAGATAGCTATAACACTGAGGTAATGAATGTACCTTGACACAAATAGACTATTATCAGTCAGAAGTAAAAGAAACTACATCTAAGAAATGGTAGATTACAAAGTTCCCCATTATATCATTCCTTTATGTGAGTGAATTAAAGTTAAGCAGATTTGTTTCAATATACCTATTGTATACTAAAACGTTCCAAGTAATCATATTAGGCAATAATTTGTTTTTTATTACAATCATCAGAGAATTAATTTTAAATGACATGATGTTCAATATCAACAATAAAATTTGTATATAATGTAATAATTATTTATTTATTGCCTTTTACGCCATTCAGTATAGACCTCAACTGAATGTTTACTGAAGATCTTTATACAAATAGATTTATACGAAAGGCAACATTTAACATCTGATAGATGTTAAATATTTGAAAACAGAAAGAACCAACCAAAAAAGAAAGATTAGGAATAGTAATATTCCGAAAGAACTGTCAACTATACAGAATAAATGCAATATCACAGATATGTTTGTAAGATAATGTAGATTAAGTGAATTAAAAGAAAATGAATCAATAAATTAAGATTTGTATATACAACTTAAAGTGAATAGTTTTATGAATTCATGGTTTGAATAGCATAATTTACATTCCATTAAAAAAGAAAAGAACAAAAGAATAAGAATTATCACATAGAATATTTATAGTATAGTTTGTATTCATGGTTAAACTTCAATAAATGAATGGTATACATACTTCATTCATTACGTAACAACTAAGAACTGAATAAAATCCACATTATTTGATTGATTTTAAAATGTAAGAGTGTTCATACGGAAGATCTATCAATTTGTGTCACATTTCTTGTATTCTCCTTACTCCGACTTTTAACATGTATATGGCTTGGCGATTCGGATATCAAACACAAAAGACATAAATAAAAAGTCATATTCCATTAACAAAAAGGAATACAGGTGAATGATATAAAGAAATGCTGTAAGATAAGTGCCAAAAAAGCCTCAAAGGACATATATATAGAAAATAAGTGAGATTTAGTTTGCAATTTACACAGTTGTATCTCTAAATTATTGTTTTATAACTGATCATACATTTAAAATTTGGTAATTTAATATAAGTCTTGTTAAAGCCAGATAGACTGCATAGTGGATTAACTCTTTGACTGTTTGGCGTACGTCTACAAAATAAAAAAATAAACGTAATACATTGTCAGAAAATAAGGATCGTATCAGTGGGAAAGAATAAAGAATAACAATGACTCTTATACAACACATAACAAATGTTTTCATAGTCTCAAGAGCATTATACATTGAAAATAATCCCCTCAAATGTGAAATTAATAAATAAAATGTAATAGTTTAATTAATTAGTCAATTAAAGCTAGACCACCATGAAAAACTTAGAAGCACTGAACGGTCATTTTGGCCTAGTATGGGACTACTCAGCATTACGCATCCACAATCTCGCTCGCGGGGTTCGAACCCAAAATTTATCGGTCTCTTGCGCAAATGCCTAATCTCTAAACTACTGAGCCGGAATCCAATGGTGTTAATGTCTATTTTCAACCAATCCACGAGTGGGGTTGTAAATGCGCACTGACGAGAAGTCCCATACTGGGACAAAACGGTGGTGCAGTGCTTCCAGATTTTCCATAATGATCTAGCTTCAATTGATTCATGAATTCAAGCTTGAAAATTAGATTGACATTTAGTCAGTCTTAGATTAAATGATTAATGACAGTTTGGATCATTATAATTTTTAACTTCAGATTAGTGACTGCGTTTAAAACTTTTTATGAATAATCTATACAATAATCCGCACACCATCTAGTTTGCAAACAATTTTTTTGTTACTCATTATTGTATAAATGCACATTTAAGTCATTTTCATGTTATCTGACATTTTTTGAAGTTTTTTTTACCGTCACCTATTTTGCTTCGTTTTTTACATTAAGTCTAATCTTTATGTCACTTGGTTACCTATTTTTTTCACAACCTTCAATCCAGGTGATTAAAAAGTTGATTCCGAAACACAGTTATCAAATAAGTATGATGATGGCATCATCATTGTTCTTTTGCACTGAAAAACTCAACGAAATAGATATTTCAGGAAAATCATGAAAAACAAATAACAACAAATGAGTCAACAACAACATAATATGCATATGTGCAAAGAGTAGATGCATTATCATATTTTTCGTGGACATATTTTATTCAGAAACATTTGGTAATGTTAAGTGGCAGGTCGATTAACCATCATATCTCAAATAGCATTACATACTGACTTCCTTCCTAATACTCATATTATTAATTCCGTAAATCATCTTTGTTCGTTTGACCGTTATTGACTCAATACAAACTATGCTGAGAGGAAATGAAATATCATACTCTAGTCATGTCATCATTTACTATATTCTCAAAATGATTATAAAAAGTAAAGTGAGGCTAAACGTGTTAACTCGAATCTAACGCAGATAGTCAAAAATGGGATACTGGAAAATACATTAAATTAATGTATTTTTACTGGTTAATGTAATCAAAACAAGAACACAGATATTATATAATAGTACTGTATTTCTTTCTACTTCTAATAAAACTAACATATTAAAAAAGGGATTTTTTCTAAGGATAATATGTGCAGGTAAATATCAACTAAATGTGATCTCTTGGTTTATAAAGACTGCAATCATAATAAGTTTGAAAGAAAAACTTCAATAACAACAAATTCATCAGTATAAGGTTGTGGAGATTATTGAGTTTCTGATTGAGATCATGAACTGAATGATGTTAGATCACCACTGAAAACCCGGAAACACCGTTTTGTCCTATTGTGTGACTCCTTCGCAGTACGTTCGCGTGCCAGATCGAAGGCATTGGATTCGAATCTCGTAAGCCGGATCGTGGATACGCATTGCTAAGGAGACCGACAATAGTGCTTCCAAGTTTTTAGTGGTAGCCTAACATCAATCGGTTCAGGATCTCAATCAAAATAACAAATTTGTTTAAAAAAACCACAGCTTTTTAGTACACAAAAAAGCTTATTACAATGATACTTAATATCCCCTTTTTCTAGTTTCATCTACTCAATTTATATTAAATGACATACGGATGTATAATATCATGTCAGTGTTGAATAAGCGAATGCAAAGAAATTTAATAAACAGGTAATATGATCAATATGAATTGCATAGGATAATTCATTTCATACTAACTTCATCTAAAAAACTGAATACAAATATCTGCTAAATACACAAACGAATTAGAAATTAAGAATAACATAACAAAACAAAATTACAAATAAAAACTACATACAACACATTTGATCAGCTTCACTATATATACTTTGAATAAGAATGTATGAATGTATAATTAGGTATTAGATATAATAATAAAATATAAATGTATTTTGCCTTACTTGATGAACCATTTTCTAATGAACTTCGGAATCCTTTTGAAGAATCAATTAATTTCCCATTTTCTTTGAATATATTTGAATCTTCAGGAGTTTCAAAAACTAGATAAACTTCTTTACTAGATCCTAAATATTGTGTTGATGGTTTCGATTGGTGTAAATCTTTTGAATTCATTGATTGAAAAGAGAGAAGACTTGGCTTCATATCTATTTTTTGCATATGATCCACATTATTATTATTATTATTAATTTTAGACTTTATATATATTTTATCATTATTTGGTATATAATGCTCTCCAGTCATTGCTTGTAAACTAACCACATATAATGTATTTGGTAGAAGATTATCCAATACTATAGATGTTTCACTCTGTTCAGAAGAAATAATTAAATTGAAATTATTCAATAACATTATACATTGGTTTATGAATATAAACAACTCTATGTTATGAATTATTTATTCATTTCTTTTCATTGTTTTTGTTGTTACTGTTGAGAATTCTCCTATTTAAACATTAGATTTAATGAAAATTTCACACCTACATGTCATTTACCATATACACTAGATCTGAAAAGAATAATTAACTCGCTAGTTAACTTCAATTTCATAAATAATTCAATGATATTTTTCATCGATTTGATTCCCTTGATAATTTTTCAACAGAATAAGAACAATATAAATTATAAAATGAAATGAAATGTATATTTCCATAACAATATCCTTGTAAACTATTCAAATAATTGTATTGGTTAAACTCCATTGAACTGATGTCCAAAATGTTTTGTTAATTTTAACATGTTAAATATGATATCTAGTAAATAGTAACCAGTGATAATGATTGAAATGTTATAATGAAACATCTTAATCATTCCTATTTGTTATAAAGAACAAAATCATACTTACGTTTCGTAATACTTTTGTTTCAGCTCTTGTATGATCAATTCGAGGTCGAAGATTTGGCCATGATTTCCATACAACTGATTTCATTGCAGTATCTCGACTTGGTCCCCAGATAATTCTAAAAAATGAAAGTAGATCAATTAGAAATAAATCAGTTTTGTATTTATCATCTTTATGTTTAGTTAAATGTCGCTTATAATTGACTACACTATTAACAAGATAATGTAATCTGTTTTTTTTTAAAAACTCGTTAGTTAAAGCTGACAATGCAAAAATAGTTGTCATACTTGAAACGGCCGATTTCACTTTTATATCACATTTAATCAAATGTCTGTCATTAACAATCATTTATCTAATACATTATCAATTCATTTCAAGCCTAAAATAATGGATGTATAATCATGTCTCTATTTGATAATTGAGCAAAATGTCAAAAAAATGTTATTGTGAATTTATGTTTATTTTTTGTTGTTGTCAGAACGTCTACAATGAAAAGTAACATATCATACAGTCTATCTTTATTGTGATAAGTCAGACAATTGAATTAGTGTCTTAATATTATACTTATAGCTTGTAAGGGTCACGGCGAATTCAGGTAACTATGATTAAATGAGATAACAAAAAATATTTAAAACCAGGTGGTTTGTGAAAATCAGTTCCACTTTTAAAATTTGTATCAAGGATTAACTCCAGATATAGAACTATTGTATACTAGATACCACTCCTTCAGTGCATGACCACACAGTACTACACACTTAATTCCCCACACGCTTCAGCTGGAGGATATATTCTATAAAATCAAAAGTGCGGCTAAATTACGTAGAAATTCTTAGATATATTTAAACATTTTAAGAGTATAACTGATCTATCTCTTATTGGTATATATGCATCCTGTGCGTAAGATTCAAACGAACAATACAAAACGACTTAAAACTTTACCCTATTTCACAAGCTAGCGACTATCAGTACTAAGTGGATAATGGGATGACGTTTGAAGCGAACGGTATTGAGTTGGAGTCACGAAGTGAACATCAACTGTAGGATGTATGCATATCCAGCTGATGAGTCCCAAATGAGACGAAACGCGCATTCTGGATTCCACTGTTAGCCTATAACGCTTTTTACTTCAATCAATATTAAGGCAATCCAAACAGTATGTACATATGCTAATAGAAGATTGATCAATGGCAATCCTGAACATCAATGGGAAGATTCAAACAAACAGTACAAAATGAAATCTAGGAGTATGTTCAAACTTGTTTTAGATTACGAATAATTTATGTGTTATGTAAATCAATAAAACCTAGGCATTTTAGCTAAAAAATGTCTCAAAAATCTCACCTATGGTGCACTGGGAAAATAATTTTACTAGTCTTGTCACTGTAGATTTCTTGAGTAGTTAATTGTTGATAACTCCCAGATCTTGATACAAGTGCACCTGACTTCCAAGATATATTATAACTGATCGTTGGCGTTACCGATATTTGCTTATATGATAAATTTTTTGGTTCTGTTATAATATCTAAAACTGAGTTATAGAAATAGTAATTATGAGCAATCAACCTAAATATTATCATATTTCCGGAACATTTACAAATGAACCACGATAAAAAATATTAGGAGTGGTGAGATATAGTATTTCTTACCCATTTGAGATTTTGTCATCTTCTGAAAATCTAGATCTCAACAGTCAACATCCAAATGTTAGAAAAGTCTGTATCTTTCACTAAAGTTTTCATGCTACTTGATACTTATTTTGTTTTCCATACGTAACGTCCAGAAAAATAAATACTACTATGAAGAAAAAACTTTATTTGTCTAACTTCATTAACTTACACTCAGACAAAGACATATATTACCACAAATACTTTTTCTGAAGTTTATAAGATTTACATCACATGTGAATCATGCTGATGTACTTTTGAATCATAAACAATAAATAGTTGTTTGTAAACTGTACACCTTCCATTAAACAAACTGATTTTATTTTAGGGGTATAGTAAGATTTTAGGTGGAACATAACACAATCTATAGAAGAGTTTAGATAACTTGACCTATGACAAAATAAAAATGCTTTATTTTGTTCAGTGGACACATCACTTATTCACTTCTTTTTTATCTAAAGTTCTCTACAAAATTTTATCATAACTGCTTGCGCTAAAGAAAACAAGTTCAACTGAACAAATGTTTAACCGGATCTTGCCTCAAGAATGTAACAATGTGAATTATATTTTTCTACAGTATCCCAATTAGTAGAAAAGTTGAAATTCAGGTGAATAAAGCACTTCTTAAGGTATAATTAGCATTCTTCAAGTTGATTCACCTCATCAGATTAATTATTTGTTACATACAAATAAGTCTAATCATACTGATGTCACTATATCCAGGTTAAAGTTAATTCTCTGTAAAATATACATGTTTGTATTCAAGTTTATAGCGAATAAATGTGACGTTTTTACTGTAATCAAATAATATAGGTTGGTTATGTGTTAAGAGCATGATCTTCAATAGAATAAATGTAACATTTTGGGATTTAATTTCCAAGTTAATCGTTTCATTTAGTACAGTGAATACATTTCACCTTTCCTAGATACATAAGTTTTAATCATAATATTACTACTGCTTAGGTATTTAAGGTGTAAATCAATTTGTAGCGCATCATTCTCCTGAATGCTTTCTTTCCCGCTTCTAATTGCTTCGTTTTTGGCTTTTTCATCTATATTTTATTGCGTTATGAAAGTACTTTTTAGTTCATTTACTTTAAAATTTATTATAGATCTTGTACTTTAATATGATATCCTCTTTAGAGATTATTTAAGGCTGAATACTAGAAAGAGTCAGTTGCTCTTACGCTAACTATTAAATGGTGTTCAAGACCATATTATGAGGGCTTCATACTGTATCATTCGTAAAGTAATGACTTTTCAACCAGTTATTCCAGTATAAATCCAAAATGATAACTGAATCTCTGTAGATGCGTACGCTGGCTAATTTTATCTAGACTGTACAATTAAAACAAGCAACAGAGCCTCAATGAAGAGATACTTTTTTATGAATTACCAAGTGGATATTTTTCTCTCATTTAAGAAAATATAAGTCTTGATAAAAGTTTGCTAAATATACAAGGCGTAAATGACCAACTTTAGGCAGACTACAGTATTTTACGCATTCAGCTGCTTTCGATATGTTCTGGACTCATTATAAGCTGAAAAGGTAAAAATGAATATAAAAGATAACTCACTATCAACTAACCTTGTGTAGTACCTAGACACTTTGGTTTTTTAATCCATGAAGCTAATTTGACTGTGGAACATGCTGGTGTACACAACCATGCAGAAAGTTCAACATTATACCCAGATGTATAGACAGGGTGAATTTTTTTGTCCGATCGTTTAGATGATTCTTGTTTTTCAGACAATAATTCAATTAGATAACGACAATTAAAGTTAAGATTCGTTAATTGTAATGTTGCATGTCTTAAAATGGGCTTTTTGAATCTTTTACCGTCAATATGATTGTTGACTCCATGTTTTACTGGATTCAATAAAATATATTTTTCATTTGAATTCAGTGATTCTTTACGCCGTCCAGCATTTTCTATTTGAGAATATGAAGGTTTAGTAAATTGATCAATATTATTGGCTATTAAAGCTTCTGATTGAAAGGAATTTGTTTCATCTATATTATTACCAGTGACAATGACAGTTTCAATGCAAACTTGTGGCGTCCAACGAACAATTAATGGACGTGAACTCACTAAAATAAATAATTTAACTTGAATTAAAACAGTAGTATATGGTAATATTTAAAATGTCAGAACTATTTTCTTCTCTTAGATTCAGAAAACAACAATAGTGTACATTAGTATATCATGAATGGATGATTGAGATTGAATGAAGAACATTGATTTTATGCTTTGCTGAATGAATAACAAATATCAATTTATTTTCAGAAAGGGGTTTTTTATGGATATTATAGTAATGTAATAGTTGGGTTCATGAATCAACTGAAGCTAGACCACCATGGAAAACCTGGAAGCATTGAACGGCCGTTACTTCCTAGTACGGGACTCCTGAGCAGTGCTCATTAATGATCCGCCCGGCGGGATTCGAAACCAGTCTCGCGCGCGAGTGCTTAAACTTAAGACCACCGGGCCGGAATCCAATGGTGTTAATGTCTAACTTCAACAAATCCACGAAATTGTACCAGCGTCCACCACTGTTTTCAATGAGTTATCATCTCAAAACAAACATGGTTGAACTCCACTGGTCACTGTTTCTCACTAGAATCAGTTTCTCATATAGGCAAAAATGAACTTATAATACGTTTCTTTAAGCTAATACATCTATTAACATAGACATAAATCCACAAAAAACATATTTACACTTTGAACCAGATCCTATCAGTACAGCAATATCATTAATAAACTAGTTTGAATATATCGACTAAATGATCTTGTTTGTTCTTTTCTTTATTTGATATTTTGAAAGCCTGAAGAATTTTATTTGTTTTCCAAAAAATCAACACTTATTTCGATATTACAAATATAACATTTATCATGATGAACTCTCCTCTTCTTAAGGATGATCTATAAGACATAGTAGTATAAGTTTATATTTCCAAAAATGTTGGTAAGGACTTTTAAATTATGGTAAAGACTTAATAATTTTAATGATTTTAACATAGTAAACTATCATTCATTTTTATTTTATTAGAGATAATTATGAACTGAGATTGATATCATGAATGAATCAATGTTGGATCATCATTGAAATGCTGGAATTTCTAATGAAAAGCCGTAACCAATGGAGTTCGTTCATGTCTATTATGAGTCAGTTACTCTCTGAAGAAAATGATGGATGGTCGCGCAGTATAAATGATATGTTGAGATTAGACATTAACACTGTCGGATGTCGGCTCACTGTTTTAGAGGTAAAGCGTTCGTGTGCGAAGCCAAAAGTTCTAGGTTCGAATCCTTTTTGCGCACTGCTGAAGAGTCTCATAATGGTACGAAGCGACCGTCCAGTGCTTCCAGGTTTTCAATGGTGATCTGACATTGATTCTTTTATGATAATAATCTAAGCTCATCAATCTCCACAATAATTTAATGATAATTATGAACTCATTTAATTTAACACAAACGTACAAAAGCGATGATAAATGGATATAAATGACTTACACTGAAATAAAATTTAATTGTTTTTTACATTATATCTTATTTGTACCAAAATCTTTAACCAAAGTAAATAACAATTATTAACCATTAGAAGAAGGGAAATACACATATGGCATGATTAGGTAATCGATGTTAATAGAACAATTAATATTTCATATAACCACTAAATTAGTGTACTGTATAGAAGTATTGGTATAACTTTTAATGCAATCGTTTTAAAAATAAGCCTTAAATGTAGTTAATTGCTTAATTAATTAAACATGATTTTTGATTGATTGTTTACATATGGTATCATAACTAAATGAAATATAACAGATAGATATTTCCAATGGAAATTAATAGAATGTAATAATACTGTCAAAGATTTATGTAAACATGAAGATAAATTGGATTGTCATATAAAAAAAGATAGTTGGAATGTCCCAGTTTTAATAGTTGAATTCATGAGTCGATCGAAGGTAGACCACTATTGAAAATTTGGAAGCATTTGACGGCCATCTCATCCTAATGTGAGACTCCTCAATAATTAATATCCATAATCCCATGCGTAGAACTCTAACCCAGTACCTTCGATCGTGAATGTTCACTAGCGATGAGTCCTGTACTTAAAGGAAACGACTGTACAGTGCATCTAGGTTTTTAATAGTAATCTAACTATTAAAAAATTATTACAATCTTTACAAAATCCCATTCTGATAATAATTATCTTAATAATTTTACTTACTTGTTTGTTGATTTAACTCTGTTTTAGATGTTTGTTTTAAATCATATTCATATATTTTGAGTTCAGTTATTAAACCATGTCCATCAAAGACAGCTACATCAGTTTCCATTGATAATTCTGCAGTTTTAATATTTATATGATTAATTGATGAATCAGATGGTAATGAACTTTTAAATACTAAACTTTTACTAGTTCCATTACAAACAAAAGAAACATCCGATTTACCTATACAATGATCAATAATAAAAGGTAATAATATTAAATACAGTCCAAATATTTAAATTATGGTTTATTACATAAATCTATTGTTCGTTAAGTATACTATCCTTTTTATACAGTAAGCTATTTATTCAAATATGGTAACATATTTAGAGTGTATGACTGTTATTAGGTGCAAAATTATAAACTTGAATCATATATATTTAACTGAAGACAATAAGATAAACAGCAGATTGATCTTCAAATTTTATATCTTCATCTTCAATTAAATACATTACTGAAGTCAATATATTAGATCTTAATAATTTTAGTAGTACACTGTAAAAGGTCATTTTTCCAACTATTCATGGACTTAAATTTATTCCAGGTTATCACTGAATATTTATGTGTTGTAGTCTTTTCATAAAATCACTTCATAGAAGTAACTTAATTAACAAGAAGCTAGTGATCGTATTTAAGATGGGATTATATTACGGACATAGTCACAAACTAAAGAAACCAATCTAATGGGTAACACATTATTACTTCAACTTATTTACTATTTACAAACAATTTAGGAAATACTCTACTTTTAGTAGGGACAGTGAACTACAAATTACTCTTTTAAATGGAAAAACGAAAGAAAGAGTAACCGAATGGATATTTATAGGAATAATGAAATATTTAATTACAGTCAATTAATTAGAACCTTAGATAAGATGTAAAATGCAGTGGAAAGCTTGGAATTTTATTTACTTTTCCCTACTCCAACATGTACAAACGAATATAACTAATTCAGCATTATTGTCTGAATCCTAAACATGTAGTCTGTAAGTGTTTACTCAAAGTTTTTCAATTTTATGCATAGCTCATATATTATAATAAAACAGAGGGTACATGACACGTTTGAACAAAAAAAATGTACAAAACCCGTACATCATGAAATAAATCACTCATTTAAGAATGGCTAATAGGTTAATTGTATTTTTGTGTAGACGCTTTTAATGCAATCTTTAGTCAACATACTAAACAAAATGGTCCAAATAATGCAGCGGAATCCATAAATCTAGTAGCCCGAAACATATAGAATTCGGTTAATTATAAACATCACCTGAAAATAATATTTCAAACTTGTTGTCACAAAGTATTGGTAAAACATCTTGAAGAATGCTTCAGATCAATATTTCATCCTACAGTTTGTCAAGTTAATAAAGAAACAAATCATCTACTAGTGAATTTCTAATGCTTTATAGGGTCAGACAACGATACATATATTATAAGACTAAAATTTTGATATGAATACCAATTTTCTGCGTTGCGAAGACCTACCTGAGTTGTGGTTAAGGTGGTCTTCAGAGTATGACTCATCATAATGGTTCAAATACTTCTTGTTTTTTAGATGTTGAACAGTGTTTGTATCAATTTTCTTTAAGTTGGCAATTAGGGAATCTTCTCTATGATCTTGGATTGAATCTACGTTTGGAGTATGAATAAACAAAGTATTTGGTTGTGATCTAAGTTGAGTTGAACCCCATTCACTCATTGCAATTACCTGAAAAATAATTTGAATTACACAAAATAAAAATCAACACATATTGGTTCCATATTAGAAATCCGTATGACTTGAAAAAAGGAAATCAAGCTATCTAATTAACACTAGATTTATGATCGTTAAACATTCAACATTCATGTAAACACCTTTTTTTCATATTTTTTTTATAATCAGCTGATTGTCTATCCAATCATTACTTATTAAATTTTGGAGACTAATTTCATATCCATTATACAGTTATGTTCAAAAAAGATCGTACATCATTACTTTAAAAACAGAGAATGTTTCATATATAAAGTGGAGTATAATTTCATAGAAGAATATATCAAGAGTATACTTTCTTCATAATTAGCTAATATTGATACAATATACCTCAAAATTTGTTTTATTTTAACTTCTTCAAAGATGTTTTTTAAAATACCATGTTATAAAAACGTATACAATCTCTTCAATATTAACTGTTCAAATGATAGTTATAACTAGATGTATGCTCTGAAAAGATCTTACCTCAATTCGATACAGTACTCCAGGATAAAGATTTGTCAGCTGATAATTTGTTTGAGACTAAAGAAGAAGAATATTTATTAAAAAAACTCAGAGATTATTCAAGAGAGTAATGAAGTCTATTTCAATATGATTAACAAAATATAAAGTGGGTAAATAGAGCATTATCTTTTCCACAGGATTCTATATTTCTCATGTATTGTAATTATTAAAGTTCAAGAGTTTAAATATGATAATAAGATGAATGATTCTTAGGTGGTGGTTGGAGGTAGTCGACAGTAAACCCTGGACTCGGGTTTCGTGCTACTTTGCATTCGTCAGCAAGGTGTAGCTGTAATCTTTAGGGAACTGGTGCTCCCTGGCGGATTCGATCCTGTGTCACCCAGCTTCACAGTCAGAGACGTTACCACTGAGCTATCCGGACCGCGACTGACCTCCTGTAGGACTGAGATGTAATCACAATTGATTGATCACTGGGTGGTGACCAATATCATGCGTGTCAAGTCCTTATTTAGTGCAGATCGAATGCTATTGACCATGTTGCAATGTGGCCAACAGTCTAGGTGACTCGACATTGCGGGCACTATATATTGAGATTAGATAGTGGTTGGAGGTAGTCGACAGGAAACTCTGAACCGTGATTCTATGAAATTAGTTACAAACATAATTTCACTTGCAAATTTATTATTTATTTTATCACATAAATCACATTAGTCAAATAGGTGGAAACAATCTCATCAGTTGGACAGATTAATCATATGTTTCTTTATCAATAAAATATTTATTCATTTAGAAATACTGTGTGCCATTGATTTTATAGTGGTGTGTGCAACTGATTTCTATAGATATAAGTAGTATGTATCATCAATCAAAAGTCGAATACTTGAAAGCAGAAGGTTAAGAAGATCGAAGAAAAGAGGATGAGAATAGTGAATAACTATTGTGGAAATGAAGGAACAATGAAGTCTGAGACAATTAATGAATATTTTGCAAATGAAGTATTAGAGTATGGTTTTTCTATTTAATCAAGTAATTCTGTAATTTTGTACTAAATATATGGTCAACTGTGTTCTACTTCACTACAGTGTGTTTCCTATGATTCCGGTAAAGTCACCTAAATGTTTAATATTTGACTTCTATGGATCAATTTTTGCTTATAAAATGATTGTGGATAAACTTATCTAAAATGTGGTTTTGATTACGGATTCATCACGGCATTCATGATTCCTAATACACGCCTATTTAGGAATGTCAAACAGCTGTACATAATACTTATCGCCTGTTACTTTTTCCAAGTAATAACTATTATTCAAGTGATACACAGATTAGTATTTTCTTATTTCGATAACTTTAAAGTAACCGCATTATTCAAAATAACTATAAAATGTGATATGTAGTAAACAAATTTGGGGTGAAAGTAAACTTTACAGTAGTCAATTCATTTACTTGTCTTTCATCTCTATAGTTTTTGAGAAAAATGATTCTGGTGTATTTTATCGGACATGTAGTAACTTTTTTTCTTATGTAGATGTAAGTTCAAGAAAATCAATGTTCCCGTTGTCGTGCAATGAATATATCAGTTACTCTGATGTTAATTGAATCACTCGGAGAATTAAAAGGCTAAAAAGCCTGTATAAGTTCAACAGATTTGTTGTTAATCATTTAGTAATAATGTGACAGAAAAAATCCTAAATCAGAGTCATGTATCTATTCTACCATCAAGGAAAAACTGCATTTATAAATATCTATACAACCCCTTAATATAAAACTTTAAATAACGATTAGTTATTTCTGCAAGTCATTATATATGGTCTAACAAGAAAACTAGTTCTCATGTATCATACTACACCAAAACTATGTAGATCTAACTAGCACACATCAAATTTTGTATACACAGCTTGATATGATTCTAATTTCAATAATGTAGATATTAAATTAATAGTTTGGGGTTTATTTACCGATCACAGACCGATTTTAATTAGGTTGTTTTAACTACGATTATTTACTTGGTTTAACCGATATCTTAGAATTTACAGTAATATACTAAGTGTAAGGACAAATTGTTTATGAACATATAAAGGGAGTTTCAATTTTCGTATAGCCAAAGCTTCAATAAACCTTAGTATACGTTCTTGAAGGCTTTTGTATAACACTACAAATGCTGATTTGATGTCAACCTTATGACCCGTCTCAATCAAATGTTTCGCAACGGAGGATGATGTCTGTCTATCCTGTGAACTTATTTGGCCATTGGAATTCATTTGTTTCTGCAACTATTTTGGTATGTATTCACCCACCCTTAATTGCAAATCACGATTGCTCCTCCTTATGTACGTGTTTCCACACATACATGTAAACTGGTATATATATATATTAATATATTACATCACTATTTTTGTTGATTCTTAATGAATTACATCAACCAACCAAAGTTTATACAATAATGTTAACCTTATTGGTGAATACTATATTATCCTAATAAATTTTCTACATTATAGCAATTAATTTGTTGTGTTTTTCCTATAATCTGTTTGATTCTTGTTTATCAAATGAATATTTTAACACATTTAACCAAAAATCATGTCAATAGTGAACTGTCATGAAATAATCTAATACAATGGTGTGTATATGTGTGTCCGTTAAAAATTTCATTTTACATTTATCTACACTAAATACGTAATTTGTAGTTGGGATATATCTATATGAAATAAAACAACACGTTAGTATGGTGAGCGAAAAAAATGGATAAAAGTATCCAAGTGGTCATCATACTGAATTATTAGTATTAAGTAACTAAGTTTAGTTTGAAAAAAAAATGTTTTTTTTGTTTTACTCTGTCTAATAATTTTGATATGAACTTCACTCTCACCTATCAACAATAATTTATATGAATCAATAATGAAATTCGTAATGTTAACTTACCGATGGAACAGTATGTACAAATTGAGTAGGATATTCAGTGAATTTATGATTATTATCTATATTTGCAGAATCAGGACCCCAAGAGATCTATTGAATAATGATAAATAATATATATATATAAAAGAATTATATTAAAATCTATTTCTATATGACATAAAATTTTATATCAGAAATACTTTAAAGTTAAATAATCTTGTATATTCAAAATAAAACAACAATAACTTCATGAATGATGGAGTGCTAGGCTGAATTGTACAAGTGTAGATGGAGTGTCAAAACCAAGAGAACCTCATTGATTTACTGCTGCCACTTGAAATTGATGCCACCAAAATATTTCAATGAGATAAATGAATAGTTTATTGTATGATCAAATATAAAATATCAATAAATGGATAATCCATAGAACTACATTACTTATATCTATTTGTCATGAATTAAACGTAGGATTGATGTAATGAATGATAAAACAGTAATATTCTTAAATCAGAACAAGATGCAAGCAAATTTATTCATGTTAGAAAAAACAAGTTATCATGAACATTTCTATGAAAGAATCTTCTTGAATAATCGGTTTACTCAAAGTTTACATTATGTGGACAGTTGTAAAATGTAAATATTGATTTTTGGAAGATTTAGAAATAGAATATAAACGTCATATTTAAAGTATGATAACGGTAAAGAATAAGCTTAAATATGATAAAACTATAGTTTTATTTTGCTAAGGAAAAATTGAAAGCTAATAGATATTGTGAACTCTCTTATGAATTACTATTACCTTTTTTTAAAACAATAATGTGCTTGATACAAACTTTAGATAATAATGGAACGATTATATTATTTGAAGCTTTCTCATTTCCAAAAATTTCAAATGCAGTTTCTGGAACAGATTGTGGAAAATTAAGTTTCTTTTATTAATCTTAATGTCTAAAAATGAAAATCATGAAACCCTATGAAATTACTCAAGTAAATTTTGGTGAATATATGACTCGGTATTTTATAATGTTTAGAGATTAGTTAATTCAAACAACATTAATAATGGTTATTAAGAGTATAAACCTAAGAGCTCTAGACAGTTTTTACGTCCTAATGTTGAGCTCCTGAACAGCTTTCCAGCACTTCTAGGTTTTGAATAGTTATTTGACTTAGGCTAGTTTATACTCTTAATTATATTCAATAACCTCCCCAAACCACCAAACTGACAATATTGGTAATGTTAATCGCTCAAAATATTAGCCTCAGTAAACTCTGTTACCATATATTTTAATCATAAAACTAATCTGTCAACAATTGTTGATTAATTATTTCTGTTATTTGTTGTTTAGTAACATAACTTTAAAACTTAATTGTGTTGAATGATTCAGTAAAAGCACTTACCCTATACTCAGTAACTGGTAATACGGTAGTTGCTGGACTGTTCCAGTGAATCTGAACTCTTATTTTTCCATTAGCTTGTAGTGTTAACAATTCGTCGGCCAAGTCTCTTGGAGGTGATGCAGGGCTAGGTTGAAGAGTTGTTAATTGTACAGGTGGAGATGGAGTGTCAAAACCAAGAGAACCCCATTGATTTACTGCTGCCACTTGAAACTGATACCACCAACCAACAGCAGGATCACTTAGTTGGGCACCTTTTAATGTAGACTAACACAAAAAAATGTTTACATTATTATGATACTAAACGTACTATCAAAATCCTACGCATTCAAGCATTATTCAAAGATTCATGAAATGTAAGGAAATATTTGCCATAAACGGTGATACTACTTTTCATTTATGTTGGCTTACCAAACTCTTTATCGCACCACAATTTTCATCAGGTTTTCATTAAATTGGATTCATTTATTAAGGAATACTTCCAGTGTATCAATAACGAACAAACCAAGTAAAAATGTCAAAGCTCATAATATTTAGAATGGAGTTTATTCCTCTAATTGCATTTTTCATGAATGTAATTACTTTTGTAGGTAAGCAACCGTTTTTTAAATAATCTAATAGCTTAAATAATTGGCTAACTAATTATTTCTAGGATGAAAAAATAGGTAAATTTAGAGACTGCTTTGTTCAAATCACAATCTTTTACACATAGAAAAAAGGCTTATTTCCTCAACAACAAAAAAAAACGTAGACTAATGAATACTTGAAATTTTTAGTGTTAATAATTTTGAAGCGCTATTCTTTATTAGTAGCCTTGAAAAAAAATGCAAAAAAATATCTATAGCGATTATCAGGATTAAATTACATTATATACAAAAATAGATAGTGGTTAGCAATGGAATCCAAGATGCGCATTTCATCCTATTTGGTGATTTGTCATTTGGATGTACTTGCATATCAGAGTTGATGTTCACTCTGAAACTCGAAATCAGTAATATTCACTTCAAATGTCTTCACGTTATTCAATTAGCTGTTTGTGAACTAAGACAATATCGAAATAAGACGCATTGGATGTACATATGATAATAAGAGACTGATCAATTGCAGTCCTAAACATCAATGGGAAACTTCAAGTAAACAATACCAAGTGAATTAAATCACATTGTTAAAAATTATGTCTTTCTTTCATAAATACTGGTAAGTTGTCTGACGAATTTTAATTTCATGACCATCATGATGGTTTAACTTAACCAGTCCCTAAATATGGACTATTTTTTTCTGGTTCATTAAAATAAACGAAAGTTAGTAGCAAAGAACTATTAGAAATATAAAATATTATGAAAGTATCATGATACCATATTACATTATAGTCCTTTAGTGTAGTCGTATATTTAATAACAAACATGTTTTTTCCAGTAGTTTATGAATATATAATAAAATTTAAACGTTGGTCATTAATTAAAAGATCACAAGCAGTTTCCCAGAAGATATCATAATACATCTGATAATCGTGTTTCAAGGTAATTGGTATTCTTCAAGATTGCTATGTGAGCATATGTGAGAATTAATTAGTCAATCATGACGTTGATTCTTAGCAAGGATGTTAAAACAAAACTTTTACTGAACTTCTTAACTATGGTATTCTTTATAGCCTGAAAACCAACCTACTTAGTATATATATATATATATATATATATATATATATATATATATATATATATATATATATATATATATATATATATAATATCACACGTGTACACTCGTTACTCATGTAGGGAATATATTTATTGAATCAAACTCTTTCAACAGTAATAAATTCTTGGCTTATCTTACAAGATCCTGGTTAAGATGAAAAAAAGGCAGTGTTCATATAGATCACATTGGGAAGAACTGTAACATAACTTTTCTCCTCTATACAATTAATTACCAATCCACTAATTTACTTTGAAATTAACTAATACATTTATTTCAAGATATCACAATTATTTGACATATATCAAACGAAAATGGGGTGGGTGTGGAGGGGGTGGGAGGGAATAATTTCATAAGAAAACATGTTCGAAGATAAAAATTAAAAAAAATTGTTTTTTTGCATCATAAGTCATTATTGATGTTTATTTCTACTAATTTTTTTCGAAAAAAAAACAGTTTTACATCAAAACAAGTTTGACAGTTGAATAAAACAAACAAACAAACAAAGTTAAGATCATGAATTAGATAACTTTTAAGAAAAAGTGAAAAAGATCAAGGTAGATTAGATACAAATGACATTTCAAACAATTTGACACTGATGACAAATTTTTATTGTATACGGGAAAACGATTTTAATGCGAAGAAAAAAAAAGGAAAGAAGAGAAAAAAGGATAATATTGTACATCTTAAATACATTGACAATGATTGCTGCCTTAAATAGAATGAAACGTAACGAATCGAAAAGTTGCTTTTCTTCGCTGTTTTCATATAAAATTATCAATTGTGATTTATTACCTATAAATTGATCTTATTATTTAATCTAATTAAATACTTTTGTATTTTGGCAAAATATTTAAATGATAGGAGATGATACTGTTTATTATTGCTAATATTTTTTTGTTTGCAAATCTATTGATAAAAAATCTACGTAAAATTTATCTTAATTCTTGTGAGTTGGGAGATTGTTTATGAATATAGTGATCTTGATTAGTGCTGTTCGAAATAGGAGGGTGGTTTTTACTTCCTGGTTGCCTACAATGTGGAAGGGTTTTTCTGGAGGTACATGAAAAGGAAAATGGGTTAGAGGTGGTTTTAGTAAATTGACAGCGTGTCCGCAGTGCCCAAGGGATAACTGTTTGAGGTTGGTCATGCACAAACGTTTGGTGAGTAATTTTCGTGTTAGCTTCGTACTAATTGGAAGCTTACTGATGGAGATGGAAATTCGTGGGATAAGACGAGATGTGCATTTTTAGGATCGACTTTTTCTAACTCCACTCCTCCTTTTAGGAGGGCAGCACCGCTCTTATACTGGTTGTCTGAAGGATACACCTTACTGCCGTTACACCTCTGTACAGTCGGCAGTACGGCTTCGCCTACGGACTTTAGGTTTGCTGCTTTTAAACTTACCGCTTTTCAACGGGACAATTGTTTTAATCAGTATAGCTCGATTGGTTCACGATAGGCAAACCCGACCACCACGTTAAGGTAGCAGAAACGGTAAGGTCTCTTGATTCAACGTGTATAGATGTCAATTTAAGTAAAATTTTCTAGAAGTTTTCGTGGCATTTGCTGATTAAATGTGATGCTTTCAGACGTTTTATGGCTTCTAAAGAACTTGTTGTGGATTCCTCGAGGCATCACAACAAGAAATTCAGGATAACGTGACTTATTTTCGAACAACACTACTCTGTTAAACATATGATCGTATTAAAAAATAAAGCGTCAAGAAGTATTTTAATCAAATTTATCAAATCAACCAAAAAAATTGTTGTTCCAATTTTTTGATAGGTTCGCTAATCAATCAATTTTAATCACATCAACATAGGTAACAAACATGAGAAGATTCTATTGACCACTTATCAGACTTATGCTTCTATGTAAATTTATACAGTTCTTTACTTAAATATGATTTTTGATTGTTCAAATGTTAAGAAATATGATAGGATAGCTTGCTACATAAACAACAGGATACCAGCAAAACTATAGTTTACGTAGTAATAAAATTGTAAATACTCATTTACGTTTCACTTTCTAAATCTTTCCAATTAAATAACTTTCATTCAACTGAATACCTATTGTTTTAAATGGTTATTTGTTTCTTCTCTATTTCATTAGATTGTCTTCCTTATTTTACATCGTTAATCATCGTCATCACTATCAAAACAAAATTCTGAAACCATCCGTAAAGTTATATGCAAATCAATGAAATGCCAAAAAAAATGTAAATTCACTAAAATCATTGACAGAAACATTTGCATATAAGTAGAATAGGTGATTTCATAGAAAAATATTCTCATAAATAATTTTAATAGAGTTTTAATATAAACTGATTTCACAAACCAGTATGATTAAAAAGGGAACTAAAAGTTACAAAAGGAAATCAATTCTAGTCAAATCCAATATACAGAACTGTTAAGGGTTTTTGTTTACGATAGTAGGTTCGTAAACAACTTACGATGTGGATTTTATTTTGTTTTGGATTATCATTACAAAAATTTACTACTGACTAGAGAAAACTATGTATTAAATCCAGATGTTGAAATGGACTGTTTACAACTTGAAAAAAAGTACTTCAAAACTTCAGCATTTTAGTCGTTATGTTTAAACTGATGAAATCATTGAGTGTATCAAGTATTTTTATTTACTTAAGTATATTGTGAGTTATTAATGTCTTTATCTATTACTAAACAAATGGTCATAGATCGTTCGAAGTTAAACGTCAACGCCGTTGGATGACGGGCGGCTCAGTGGTATAAAGGTTAAGCGCTCAATTGCGAGACGGAAAGTTCTGCGTTCAAATCCCATGAGTGAGTTCGTAGATGCGCACTATTGAGGAGTCCCATACTAGGACGAAACGGCCGTCCGGTGTTTCCAGGTTTTCTATAATGGTCCAGCTTTAATTGAATTCATGAATTCAACTACAATTGTTATTATTTAAGAATATTTAATTAAAGGTACTATATGATGTGAAATCATGTTAAAAATCTCTTGCTAAATATTTTCAAACGTCTAAGACTTAAGCTTTATCGATAATAATTAGAAACTTCGTTTTAAAGGAAAATGGATGTTTAGTCGTTAGTCTACCTAACATAGAATGCCTAAAGTTGTAAGTACTTGTTCCTATAATTCTGAGGCAACTATCATGAAGATAGGTCAAGTTAACTCTGTAATCAAATGATATGAGTGAATTTAACCGCTAACACGTTTCAAAGGCATTTAATTTTAAAAAATACATTCACTCACCACAACTAATGTTTTCCAGGGACTTGACATACGGTTATCATATTCCGGGCCAAAATAGGATTTGACTTGTAGTACGTACACGGTTGGTAAGCTAAGATTACTGACTTCTATTTCGTTATTATTCCAAGAAACAAGAAATGATGGCGGATGTTTTTCTTCTAAAATACGTACTGTTGGAATCGGGGGCAAGATTGCTGTCAATGTCAAGCATAAAACAGAAAATAAGTGATATACTCCAATTACAACTGTGATGTACCAAAAATTTCAAGATTTTTTAGTCACTAAATACGAAGTATCATTAAGATTTCGGGTTTCCTTTTAGACTAACGTATTTATAAATATTGATGTTGGTTATGTAAAATGTCGTTTGTTTTAAACTGAGCTGAATAAAATTTTTATGAATCTCTTAAAAATGTGTAGCTTTGTTAAGGTTGGAAACATGATGAGAAAGTTACGCTCATCAGCTTCAGTCATCCGACTAATCCTTAAAATATAAAACAGAAAAATATTCAAGTTTCATTCTTCGTTTTTCTACGATTGTGCCAAATCGAAGTGTCCCTATATCAACTGTTATCATTCATCCATCTAAATTCTATGCTCATTTGTATTTATACCGATTTGAATTTCATGCATAAACGTTATACAGATCGTTTTTAGACGATAAACGTCATAATGCCAACACTGATTTTGCAAATTACTTTCATTTAAATAATTATTGATTGAATTCAATCACAGTCCAGGTCAAACAAATACAAACTCTATTCTATTACGTTCATGTAGTCACTTCTAGACCAATGAGTTGTCTATATTATGAAAGCGAATATAGGTTAGTTGGTTTTAATTAGAATTTTCTTATTTCTGTTTCTAATACTGCGTTTAAATAGAATTTCAGATATGATCTTAAAGTAATATTAATTTATTTTAGAATAAATCTGTCAACTCTCTCATAGTTAAGTGGCAAAATATCATAACTGTCAAACAAAAGGGAGAATATTCTTTGTTTAAATATTATTATGGGCGTACAATAGTAAAATTTCATGACAATTACTTCAACAAACATTGTGAAAGCAATCTATTGTTTTGAGTTATATTGAAACATACACGAGACCTTATGGCCTCCATATTATAGTTCTCATTATTCCTGATGAAGTTTTGTTCTGTGAACTTTCATAGTTCTTCTGAACGACATTGTCAGCACAAACTTCAGGTAGAAGTGAAGCGGACGATGTCGTTCAGAAGAACAATGAAAGCTCCACAACCAAACAATCCAGATAAGAGAACAAAACTCCATCAAAATAATCTTTAAGAGCTACAAATCTTTTCTATTACCTCATTATTTCTAGTAAGGAAAATGGGGTGCCTTTCTTAGATAAAGTTTAACCCTTTTTATTATTAATCTTCATTTTTCCACTCAGTTTTAGATGGTTATCTTTTCCTAGATTTGAAAAATGTAAACGTGTGATAAGATTGACTGTTCTGGAAGATATTTCTCATCGATTTCATTAGTAAAGTTGTGATTCAATTTGAAAATGAAAATATATGCAGTGACATTTGTTTTAGCAAATTTTGATATAGCTAGCAGTGGAATCTGGAAACACGAAGATTCAAACTCTTAAGGATAAAATTTAATTACAACGGCTTTTAAATTATTTTCACGTTATTATTTTAACCTTCTATATGAAATTACCTTTATTAAATAAGGCTTGTTTGCATTGTGATTGACAACATTTATCTTGCTTTTGTGGACATTCAGCATCAACTGTGCAGCTGGTTATTTCATTAAGTGCACTGCTATGATGTGTAAACCAAGAATTCTCCAGCATATTGGTTTTTAATCCGTTGTCGCTCTCAGCTAAAGAGATGGGTTTGTCCAAATTAAACTGTGAAGATTCGGAAGACTCATGTGATGGATAATTCTGAACATCATTTTTGACAGATACTAAATTTGGTATGCGGTGAATTGCGAGGCCAATCTGTTCGGGGCAATCACCAGAGCGTCTCTTCAATGCTGCGTCTAAGGATCGGCAACCAGTAAGACATGACCATCCACTAGGTGAATCACCAGACTAAACAATAAAGAAATCATTTAATCTAAGTGTATTGAACTGATTATTAAATTACACAGTTTATGAAACCGTCTACTTATGTACATCGTTTTAAATTAGTCATTCGAATAATTAGCATTTGCATCCTTTGTGTTAGCACTAGATGGCATGTATTCACTGTGTAATAAGATAATGATTAGTGTAGCGAACGAGAACACAAGTGGAGACAATCGAATGCATTTGAACACAAATAACAGAACATCTTAGTAGAATCTGAAAATTATACGATAAATACTTCAGTGGCGAAATGTTAATCAACCGTCTCAAATCTCACTATTCCTTTTGCAAATATCAGTCAATCGTCTCGGAATTCATTGTTCTTTCGTTTCCACATCAATCATTCTTTGTTCTCGTTCTCCTTCCTTTGAACTTTTTAATCTTCTGCCTCCAGACATTTCTCTTTCGATTTATGATACTACTTATATCTGTCGGCATCAGTAGTACACACCACATTAGTATCACACAAATAACTACATAAGTGCTTCAACATCTATGCTCATTTTCAGTATTCCGATCAGAAAGTGAGCAAAATGAAATTGAGTCCATATTCAATAAGGTTAAATCTACTTCTGAAATTATTTGATACATTTGGATAAAAAAATGAATTTTATTTATATTATCGTAAAAGTAACTAAAAAACCCAATAAACCACCTATATTTGACATTACAACTCACCCTTCTAATATCAGATCTAATGAATATATACACAACGACAAAAAACTGTTTAAGTTAACTTTCTCACACTGTACTACATAGTGCTTTATATTGTTCACTATAATTAATGGTCCTTATCTTGTAAAGTTTTAATAAGTTACAAATAAGTACTATCTTTTACTTTTGTTCTTTTTATGTTCATAATTAAGATATTTATGGTATTATGAACTTATCAGATTACATTTTCTCCCTATGACTATGTGATTAGGTTATTATTATTTTATTGAGATCATGAATCGATTGATGTTAGACGGCCATAGAAAACCTGGGAGCAGTGAACGGTCGTTTTGTCCTAAAATATGCGACTCCTCACCATTGCGCATCCGCGATCTTGCTCGCGAACGCTTAACCTCTAGACCACTGAGCCGGTAACGAACGGTGTTAATGTCTAACTTCCATCGATCCATGTACAGATACGCAAATATTCATCCAATGTCTGAGATAGATACCCTTCTCTACCTATCTATTCATTATCTAATTATTCATTTGGAAATTTATTTGACTAAAACTGCTTCATGTAAATTTACCTAGAAAATGTTATTTTAGTATTTTAAAAAAAACGAAAGAACATAATATGAGATTGGTGATTTAGTATCTGCGAGACTACACTCTGACAGTTTTGCAAGTTTGTTTCGTGTTGTTTATGTTTGTTTGTTTTTTCTAATATTTTCAATCTTCTATTTTGTAAATAGTATTGAATATTGTATGTAGTTTGTAAAAAAATACTTTCGATATTACTTATGACAAATTTGTTATTCATCATAATTCAAATCTAAGAACCATTGGATACTAGATAGAAAATGTTCCATCGTAAGTTTAGATAATTCATACGTTCAAACTTAGCAATAACCACATGGATATAAGTATAACTCATTCACTAAATTGGCTGAATTTTAAATATTTGAATAATATTATTACTTTCACAAAAGCATGTAATGTTAGGTGTAATATTACACAAAATCCACACCAATCCACAGTTTTCATGAACAGTTTACTGGACAAAAACTCGTCAATTTGACTGTTTCTGACATTTACACAATCGAAAAAGAAAAAAAAAACAGTGTAAGCTCCAGTTTTATCAACCTAGATTTATTCTTTGTAAATCTGTGGTATAAGTTTAAAATCAGCCTTTTCAGTTATTACAATCATATCGAAATTCACATTGACAAAGTGAAGTGATTGTTCAGAATGAACATATAAACATTTATATCTATTGTCATCTCATTGTAGAATTTGTCAAGTAGTTTTTGAAAGACAATAAGAAAAATATGACAATGAGTTTAATATTTAATTTTGTCTACCGATAATGGTTTCATTTGTAACGAAATATGGCAGTAAAAATCTTATGCTTTACATAACAACATAAAAACGTCAGATGAAACTTGAAGATACACATTTTTAGATAGAGATTTTCTTTAGTAAGCTTGAACGTCTGTGGAGGGAAAGTTATTAGGTCATCTGTTCATATTAGAGATATGGTCATTGATAGTTTACTAGGTGTTGCGTAATCAATATAAGGTTTCGCAAAGTATCATTTGAAATGAATCTTGTGTTGAATATAACTTTACATTTTTCTGCTAGCACTAACCACGATTATAAGGAGTTTAGTAAAATTAACGTCTTAATAGTTGTGTACTGAGCATTTCAGTATTAGTATTCTTCGTTTTAACATTGATAATTCTTTAGTAACTTAGCCTAATTTCTAACAAGTTGATGCTTGTTGTGATCAAGTCACTCGCTTCGAATGAAATCGTTACATCAATTTTAAGATGCTTCCAATTCATAAATAATCAAAAAAATCAAATGGTTTTCTATACATACAACTGACCTCAGAACATACTGGTACAACTGAGGTTAGAATTTGTATCAAAACATTTTCACGACTTTGTTAATCGTAAAACTATCGTGGTAAGTAGTATAAAATGTGATAACGACTTTAGAGTCACTTTGTATATATATACATTATTCTATGAGTCATCACAAAGTTCTTCATAAAAGGAAAGACGAGATATGTAAGTGTAAATGATAATTATAGTAATTAATAAAATTAGCTGTTCTCTTTGTAATTGTAAGTGAAGTAAGCTAGTTTTAAATAGAATATGGGAAAAACAAAAAAAGTTATCAGCATTCACTCATTGATGAAAAAACTTTCTGAATGGAATATTCTATTGACGAATTGAATAGTGAAGAAATCATCATTTACAGATGTTTAGTGAATATAGTTGGAAATGATACTTAAAGAAATGAAGAAAATAAAGCACAATTTTAAAAAATAGCATAATGCAAACATGTATATTACATTATAATTAAAGAAACATACCTCGCACATTTTTATGCAGTCACTGTAAAAGCGATCTGAATCGCAAGCCTGTTCACACTATTAAAAATAAATGACAAAATGGGTTTCTATTAGACAACTTGCAAAAGTAATACTTACATATTTTAGATAACTTTAATAAGAAGAAATATATACAACTTGATTTGAATTAGCCCATCAATCCTGAACCCTTATCCTTAAAATGGGGAAGTATTTAATATTTGCTGTGTTATAGAATTACATATTTTAATCGTTTCTGTCTATGACTAGGTACAAGAAAAAGTTGTTGCTGATATCATTTAGTCAGACATTTATGTTGGAATTCAATCGTTTACAATTAAAAAATCTACACTCTCCTTAGTATATACTGACCAACATTAAATGATGTCGCTGTTACCTGATACACTTTTTAGATGAATGAATGTCATTAGTCAAGATTTGTTTTTATTCGCTTTATTGTTACCACGTGATTAACGCAAAAGTAACTTGTAGGACTAAAATCCTTTTCTGAATTTCTTAATTTCAAAATATTCTTCATTTGATGTTAGCTTTTGTAGACTGAATAATCGTCATCAATTGTTACCTAATACGTCCTTCATCTTCTTCAAACTTTGTTTTAGTTTACTAAATGCTCACTCTATTTACATCTAAATATTTGAAATCATTGAAACTAAGGTAAAAAAATCGATGGTGCAGAGGTTAGTTTATCACTTGAAATAAACACTGGAGAAATTTTGATCGTTTTTTTAATGATTAATTTACATGATTTTTGTTTTGTAAATCAATTTAAGCGAGTTGCTATTCAACTCGTTAAGTTGTTTCAAAGTTCAGTTTCAACTTAATCTGCAAACTGAGCTTCTCGAATATTGTATATTTAAGTTTGTTGGCATTATTTAAACAATAAGCATCAATCAAGAGTTAAGCTGATAATGAAAGTCACCAAGCTTAAACAATTTATCCATCTATTAACCTCGAATCTATAAAGTTAAAAACAATTGACTATGATCTATAACTACTGTTTTAAAAATCAATTAATTTAAGAACAAATTTTAACAGTCATCTTTCATGAATCCTGCACATCAATCACCGCTCAAATAGTTATTCTGTCATTAAATTACTGACTTCTATAATATTCACATTTACGGTCATTTTACTTGAATACTGAATTCATACATAATAAAACGAAATCAGCTGACTACTCATTTGTCTTTTTGAGAAAGGGGTTCACCTTTGAAGATAATATTGTTCACAATTAAGTTCAATATAACCATAAAGTACTATCTGATAATATACAAATTCATATTTTAAAACGTCTACAAAAACTGCATTTTATTATATACATTATATAAGCTTACTTCATCATAATACAAAAATCCAGGAGACAATTGACTACATTTATCACGAAGTTGAACTGGAAATTTCATTAAGTTATTCACAATCTCTTCGATCTGATTTTTAGTCAAAACAAAAGTAAAAAAAAGGAAGAAGATAAAACCATCAGAAAATGAATAAAAACAATATGATTCATTAATTTTAACTGACCTTAAGGTGTGCCAAAGTGTTTGCTCATCTAGTTTAGATTTAGAAAACAAACTTTATATTGATTAATATAACCTTTAACCCCAAAGTTACTAAAGAAGAATGACTATTTTTTTTAAAGCAAAAATGAAAAAGAAAAATAATTTCACTGAGCAAACAATTTGAGATAATTACGTTTATTTAAATTTATTCATTTTGGTTCTGACCTTAAAAAAAAAAAGAAAGAAAACTGAGAAAATATAATAAAGAAAGATGAACTGTGTAGGGAACATGAAATAAGAGTCTAATGAAATCTTATATATTTATCTATCTATCTTACAGTAAACGGTTTTTTTGTAAAAAAAAATGGGATAGAAAAATATCTAGTGATTACGCCTTTTCAATGCCTTTCTTATGAAGTAAAACACACAACTTAATTTTATTGCTACGTCTAATAGCAAATAAGTTGTAAAATGATTAAGGTGAAAAGTAGACCTCCTACTGTGCATTAACAAAACAACAACAAAAATGGGTTAAAACTTAGTTCATATCGAATATTTTTTTAGAATGATAATTAAATAGAGAAGGTAAATGTAGATTACTGTGCAAAATCAACAAAAAGAGAAAAATGAGATATCCAAAATATTCAAAAAATCTACTGAAAAAAGAAAAGTTTTTTTCGGGGGGGGGGGAAATTAGCTGGTTGATTTTCAACTGATTTTTTTTTCTGGTTTCTTGTAGATTTAAAATGGGTTTAAACAAATATAACATGCAAGGAGTTACTGATATAAATGATTTAAACAAAAGTCAATTTAAGTTTAAGTTTATTAAGCAAAGATGGATAATGGCTATCAGTGGAATCCAGGATGTACGTTTCGTCCTATTTGAGACTCTTTACTTGGATGTACCTGCATCTCACAAGTGATGTTCACTCTGGGACTCTAACCCGGATTTGAATCCTTTGGGCAAGATCGTGAATGCACACTGTTGAACAATTTAGTGATTCTCTCCATTTATTGGTGTAGTGTTAGTGTGGTGTGTGCTACTGATGTCGATTCATATAAGTATTATGTATCATCAATCGAACGTGAAATGTTTGGAGGCATAAGGTTAAGAAGATCAAAGAAAAGAGAACGAGGACAAAAAACGAATGATCTGGAAACGAAAAAACAGTGAAGTCTAAAACGATTGACTGACATTTTGTTCTGTAATTTTGTGTTCAAATACATTCGATTGCCCCAGCCTGTGTTCACGGTCACTATATTAGTATTCTCCAATTGAACCTGTGGAATATCACTCCACTTCTTATTCATTTCCCGTTATATGTTAGAGTTTCTTATCTTATATTTAAGATTATGATATGTTTGAATAGTACTGGGAAATTATTTCAGATAAATGAAATTCACTCATAAACTAATACCAGTTGAAAATGAAATCAAATCAAATTGATTGTATAATTAATTACAAAAGTACTAAGGCAACTTTGTTCTTCATCATAAACTTATCAAATAACAGTTGAGATGAAACTTTGAAATTTCACATATCAAAGACAAAAGAAAAAAAATTATCAAGACTTTGAAAGTTAAGGTATCTTCTAGAAATATTAGACACATGAAACCTATGAAGTTTATTATGCTGCCTAATTTAAAGTAGATTATATCAAGTTGTGGATTATTCTGATTATTAGAATTGGATTTAACAAAATATATATTTCTCAGAGTATTTAAATGTTATATTCTCATGATTTAACAGTTAGATATTTAACCATATCTAGTACATAGATCGTATATCTAAGTAAATCATTTCGGCAAGATTATAATTTATGGGCGAACCAATTAGGTATTAGGTAACAGGTATTGGATTTTGGTTCGAAATTCACTCGTCCATTTGGTTAAATAAAGTTTCGGCATTATAGTTTATGTCAGTTCATGACGAAAACCCTAAATCTAATTCCTAACCTTAACCATCAACCGTAAATCATAATTCGAATTCCTCACACTAATTTATTGCCCTCACGTGGTCCTAGTTATCAGGTAGACACTCTCAAGGTCAGTCTAGCGTCGCTCATAGGTCGTTCATAAATTACAGTCTTACCATTATTTCTCTTAATCTAATACATACACATGATTGACTGGACTATTAGTTTTTAACAATTATTCACAACAACAAAAACATTTTGACTTAAGGTTATAAAATCAGCTAGTGCAGAACTCAAGAAAAAAGTATGTTCACTTGGTAATTACTAACCGTTGTAATCAATCTTACTTCCTACCGAACTACCTAACATGATATCGAATTCTCTATGTTGACTTATGTATAATCATTATTTAAAATAACCTCTTAATAACTAATATATAAATGAATCCATCTTATGAACTAAAGGTAATGAAAAAAATGTGAATGCAAGCATTTGATCCAACTACTATCTTTGTGTCTTCTTTCATAGGAATAATCATTGATAATAAAAAGTATTTTACATTGAAATTAATCAGTTAATTGATTTTAAATGTACGTTTTATTCTTTTACTCAAAATTTATACATTTTTCTATTAAGCTTAGATCTGAAATGTAAATATTGATATTCTTGCATAAAGATGACTTTACTATTCTTTTTTGGCCTTTTCCGAGTTTACCACATTGAAGCAGAGTATATAGTTACTGTGTAACAAAAAAATATGACATAGAAACTTGATTTTATTACAAGATTGATAATCATAGTGATATGAATTTTTTTTAAATTGAAGACAAAAAAAATCAAATAAATTGGATAGATATTTTTATTAGATAAATTTCTGAAGGGGTTTTGTGGAGATTTTAGAATTTTCGCTGATTGAAATCAGTGGTCTAGTTGGTTAAGCGCCTGGCGCGAGACTGATAGATCCTGGGTTCGAATCTCGCAGGGTGCGGTATCATGGATTCTCACTTCTGAGGAGTCCCATACTATGACGAAACGGCTGTCCAATGCTTCCAGCTTTTCCATGGTGGTCTAGCTTCGATTGACTCATGATTTCAATCAGTGAGATAAATTTTTCTTAAATGGTTCAAAACGTCTATCCTGTTAAAATATGATAATAAATGTTCACGAGAATTGAATGTCATAACAATAATAATAATGAAAAACAATATATAAACAACATGAACTTAGTCAAGAAGATGTAGAATTGTTTTGTATTGAAGTATCAATTCGAAGTTCAATGACACTATCTATCGATCAGGAAATAATGTGAACTAGAAACCCTGGAGATTATGAGATAGATCTATATATGTAAAGGTTTAATAGAACATCAGGATCAAAAGTAAAAGATATGATAAATGAAAAGGTTGACAACAACATTAACTGTAATGCTTAAGATTTCAGTATATTTAATAACTAATTTCAATTTTATTCTCATCATATTCATTTTTTTATCTACTTGAAAATCGTTGGATTATAAGTTGAATATTGATTTGATGATAATACAGACTGTGGAGATTTGCTTTTACTAGAGAAACTTTCATGAAAATGTTCTATATACAGATTAGTGTTGTAATACGCAATGCTATAAGCTCACGATTTGTTATCATATCAAATGATTAAACACATATAATTTCATAATACTTTGAAATTAGTCATATTTTGTTTCATTATAAAGATTGACTTGATCTCAACATAAAATGTACATTAAAGTAAATATGTCATACAAAGAGCGGCTTGAAAAGTTGAACCTCTTTACTCTGTCCTATCGCAGACTAAGGGGAGATCTAATTTTGATGTACAGAATATTGAGAAATGACTTCGGACCTAACTTATCCTCTCTTTTTCTTCCCACTAGATCGGGACATTTCAGAGGACTTGGCAGGCGAGTAGAAAAGCCAAGAATGAACAAAATACCCGCGGCATACAGGTTTTCACACTGAGTCATCAATACTTGGAACCTGCTGCCTGAATTTGTGGTGTGCGCATCTTCAATTGACTCTTTCAAGAGAAGACTGGACACTCACAGAAGCATACTAGAAAAGGAATAGCATAGGCCGTAGGCCTTCTGTCCTTACTACATAAATCTGAATCATGTCGTATGAATACTTATAATTTACTCATTAAATATGTTTATAAAATAGCTGAATGTGTAATCTGTAGAATGACTAGCCTGTTAAAATGTTAATTGTAAGGATATAAAGAAATCGATATATATTTATATATATAACAGCTTTAAACTTGATCAACTGCAACTTTGAGAACTGATTTATGGAAAATTTTTTATCAAGATGCACTCAATAAAATATGAAATCATAATGATAATAGTTGACCTCTATATCAAAACACATAGACAATTATTGAAAAATGCATTTCACATGAATCAATAACACAATGTATAGATGATTCTTATAATTGTCATTATGCATATTCTTATTGTTGAAGCATAGAGTACGTTTAAGAACATGGTTTGGCTTTTTTAATTTGTATCTTGTTATCTATTATTGAAATACTTGAAATTTACTTGATGTGTACATTTTAAGGTCAGAATAATTCTCACAGCTGTCAATATTATTATTGATATTTTGACATAAAAATTTATTGTTTATGGGTTATAACTAAATGACAGTACAAGTGTTCAAATTAATTAGTTACATGGTTACTGTGGTATCGATATTATTATCGCTATTAGTTTCTCAGTTAAAGGTATCTATGATGTGCCTAGTTTCTTTATAAACAATGATTGGTAAGGTTCGATAAACCGAATAGTGCCCATCACTCGACATTAAATATATTTTCTTACAAATCTATTCAACTCACTATGTTCATACTAAATAACAATAAATATAACAAAATTTACTTATTTACAAGTTGGACTTCGAGGCTATGTGTTTTACTTTTATAAATTCACTTATAACATAGTAAAACCAAGTACTTGCTCTCTAATTTAATAATATAAGCATTTACTATTTATTA